TGAATCATGGTTATCTCTATATGATAGGAATGATATGGACTGTGCATTTGATTTATTGCATAATGTATTTGTCTCGCATTTTAATGACTGTTTTCCTGTTAAGAAAATCCCTCTTAAAAAAAGAAATGACAAAAATTGGGTGAACAATAGTATTCGTCAATCGAGCAGTGCACTGAGAGATCTATATCAATTAAAAAAACATAACCCACATTTGTCTAAAAATTATCAAGAATCTAAACGCTTACACCTAGCACTTGTGAAAAGCCCAAAAAAGGATTATTATCAAAGAAAAATGTTTAACTCGGCTAATCCTTGCAAAGGAGCCTGGAAAATAATTAATGAATTAAGTAACAAAAATTCGAAAGCAACTATTATCAAATTGAAAGACAACACAAATAATACAATCGATGACCCATTGTCGGTAGCGGAATCCTTTAATTTGTTTTTCAGAGAAGCTGCATGTAACACGGTCAAGCACTTACCCAAAAGTTGCAATTTTAATAAGATGTTATATTGTACAAATAATCTGTTCTTACAACCAGTTACGAAAAAGGAAGTGTCTGAAGTAATACAGAACAAAGTTAGTAATAAAATGAGCGCTGGTCCAGATGAAATTCCAAATTTCTTTCTGAAGAAAGTCCTAGTGGCTGTAGTGAAACCATTGATTTTTCTCATTAACCTTTCCTTTTCTAATGGGCATTTTTCAAGCAAATTAAGTCATCAAAAATAATTCCTATTTACAAGAAAAATGACAAAGACCGTATAGACAACTATAGACCGATAGCGTTAACCTCAGTTTTCTCAAAATTTTTTGGGTACTGTTTTATTTTAAGATTATATGCATTTATCAATAAATATAAACTTTTATCTGAAAATCAGTTCGGATTTAGAGCCAATCGATCAACATCTCTAGCACTTCACAAATTTTATGAGGAAGTTATTGAATGCTCTGCTGGGATATTCTGTGATCTCAGCAGGGTCTTTGATTGTGTCAATCACGATTTGCTATTAAACCAGATCTATGATTACGGTGTAAGAGGCATCCCTCATAGATGGATATCGAGCTTTCTGCGGGTCGACTCCAATATGTTTCCATTCCTCACACAGACGATTTCGGCAATAAGGGATCTATCCACTCCGGTACCATTAATATTGACTTAGGAGTTCCTCAGGGGTCAATATTGGGACCGATCTTGTTCATTATGTATATCAACGAACTGGAGCATAATCTAGATACAAATTTCAACGCTACAATATACGCCGACGATACCTCACTTATTATAGCGGGCAGTAATAACATAATATTAGAGGATCGGTGTAATACCAATATGAGACAACTGCAGAAATGGTTCAATAATAACAGCCTTTACCTAAACAATAATAAAACAAATTATTTAAGACTTCACTGCTACCAAAACAGATCTAACCTAGATCTGGGTATTGGAGTGAATGGTTCCGAAATTGCTAGGGTTACCTCTGTAAGATTCTTGGGTGTCTGGATTGACGAATGTTTAAACTGGAAGGAACATTGCACGTACCTTATTTCGAAAGTGAATATTCAATGTTACATAATGAGAAATTTAAAAAATATTCTAACTTTACAACAACTAATTACTTATTATCATGCTCATATTACATCCAGGCTTACATATGGGATCTACTTCTGGGGCTCTGCTTCTCAGTCATCGGATGTATTTATCGCGCAAAAAAGAATAATTAGATGTATTGCCGGAGTTAATAGTTCGTTTTCCTGTACGAAACTTTTTAAGGACTACAAAATTCTAACTTTAGTCTGTCTGTTTATACTTGAAATGTGCTTATATATTTTCAAGAATAAGCATAAATTTAACAAACATTCAAGTATTCATAATCGTAATACGCGCTTTAAAGAACTTTTTCGCCTACCTACATATAGGTTAGAATTAAGTAAACGTGCTCCTAATTACTTGGGATTACAACTATTAAATCACCTACCTGAAAGAATAAAAGCTTCTCCTTCGACAGGTAAATTTACGAATTTAATGTGTATGCTACTAGAGAAAAGCTTTTACTCACTTGACGAATACTTTTGTGGCCAGATTACGTAAATCGAAATGTTTATTAATTGCTCTATGTCCACTATGTGCATGTGTATGTATAACTTGTTACTTCGTTGTTTCATGTTGTTATGGTTATTGTTACTACATTTTTAATGACATACCACAATATACATTACTGTGTCTACTTGGTGAATAAACTAATTAATTAATATCAACACAAAAGTCAAATTTTGGTTAGCGTTGTACCATTTACATGACGTTCCTAATATACATACAATTTGGCAACAATCCGTGCAGTGGTTTCGGAGATTATCCGTCTAATAAAAGTTCGGACAGACGGCAGACAGACAGACAGACAGACAGACAGATAGACGCAGACGGGAGACCTATTTCTTCGTACTCTAGGTGTCATGAAAGGTCGAGAAAACATAATAGCAGGGCTCATGGATTTGATTACAGTACTTCCTTAACTTATGCTCGGGAAGTAACAAAACTACATGAATCTGTAAAAAAATAGGGAGTCATTAAAAATAAAAAAAAAAACACCTTGAAACAGCATACATTACAATATAAACTTCAAGCAGGACGTAATTTACCTAGCGAAATTTTAAGGTCACGTCATCAAAATATTCGGTAGGCCCGAACGACAAATTTTAACTAGCATCAGTGAGTATAGACAGCAGAGCCGTGCCTACATATTTTTTCACCTGGGGCAGATAGCCAAATCCGCGCCCCCATGTTTGCGAGATATTTACCTACTTACCTATACGTTACAGATGATCTGTGTTCTGAATTTCTGGGCAGAAAACCAGAATTGTAATTGAAAAATGTGCATAAACATGAAAAATTAAATGGATTTATTGATTTTAAGTTATCAGAAATAAACAGATAACAGAATCAAAAGTTAAAAAAACATACAATATAATTCATAATAGCAAATTACATAGAAAAATTTGTAAATATATATATAGTGAACCAAGAGTTATAAGGTTATATGGCCATCATAAAAGTAGTTGACGGCAAATAAATACCCCCTTTGTGTGGTTCGCACTAAGCTTACCGGTTGGCAATAAATCATCTTCTAAACATTTCTTGCTCATATTTAACAGGGCCGGCCTTCAAAGCGAGTGGTTATTTCGGAACCCTCAGCGGTTGCAGGTAGTAAAGAAATAGTGGAGTGGTGGATTTTCATATTTAGTGAAAGCCGCCCCTGAACGAAACCACAAGAGCCGGTCGAGCTGCAGTGGACACGTTATTTACGACCCTAAAACCTTTTCTATTGTAAACAACTTAACTTCGACACAATGGGATAATTTTATGATGGCCATATAACCTTATAGCTCTTGGTTCACTATATATAATCAACAAAAAATCCGCCCTTATATTACTTCCAAAAATTGTACAACTTATTTTTTTTTTGCTTTTAATGAAGCAAAAACATAAATGATTTTTTCAAAATCTATTGGATTACATAATTCTTGTCCACTGGAAAAAATAGCCATGTTTGACAATTTTTCCTGACCAAGAGAAGGTCTTAAATAACTTTTTCTTATCTTGAGTTTACTGAAGTTTCTTTTTCCAGAAGCTACAGTAACTGGTAAGGTTAAAAATATTCTTAACGCGACTTCCAAATTTGGATACAATTGAACTAAACCGTATTCGTGAATTATTTTCAAAAGATCCAAAGCTATAGCTGCTCTAATATCCGGAATTATTGCAATTGCTTGGTTCTTAAAGCTAAATATTTCTGATGATATTTCTACAGCATTTATATCATTTGGATATTTAAGAGCTAAGTCCTAAGCTGCTTTTCTTAAATCTTCTATATACAATGATACTAATTTTTCGTCAGTAAGAAACTGAAAATTGGAAGATATTTCATTCTATTTTTTATACCTCCATTTGAGTTGTGAAGTCAAAACGTCCGGTACCCCTTTCACTTTGTATTTTTATATTTTTGACAATTGGGCGCCCCTCTAATTTGTTCATCCGAGGCGAGTGCCTCTCTCGCCTCACCCTCGTCCCGGCCCTGATAGACAGTGAGTATAGATGTTAATAATACATAGTCACTGCTAGCATTTTACCGTCCATACGATATTCTTAAAGTGTGTTTAAAATTGCACAATAATCAGTTCAGTCAATAGTTTAGGAAAATATTTATTGCGTAATAAAGCTCCAGCGCTGAGCTGCATAGTTCACATAACAACAACGTTAATACTACGGTATTTAGATAGCAAAGCAACTTTATTCATCATAGATCTATAGAATCATAAAACCATAAAAAAAAATCGATCTTCAATAAGTTGTAAATCAGTATCTATTAATTTAGAACTGAAATTTCAAAAAGATGTAATTCTAAGATATACTGCAAAATTTCATTCTACAAATTTTGCGTGCACGTTTTAAAGCATTATTTTAAGGTGACGTCATCAAAATATTAGTAAGACTGAGTTGATATGAGATTCCCAGACACATTTAAAATGTCAACAATCAGTTCAGTAGTTTCGCATATTATCTGTCTAATAAAACGCCTAATGAATAGACGACAAATAAGTGACAAACGGAAACGGGGACCGACATTCCTGTATTTTTCAAACTATCAAATCAGACTTTCCTGTTACCGAGTAGCGAATCTAAAACCCAGGAAAAGTTCCTAGTTTTAGTAGTTGCGTCTCGTTTCCCCGTAAACTTTACACCGACCGTATTTCAGGCAGCTTTTCTTCGGCTAAAAAAGCCAGTCGTCCTTTATCTCATTACGGATTTCTCGTGCGCTTCCGCGTTACGCCTCCTTCGCTCGTCAAACCCATCGAACAATGCGATTACAAGCGTTTAATTTCCATCATTTGTTGCGTGTGTCGGAGATGCGTTATCACCGTGAAAGAGACGATGCGTAGGCGCAGAATGACGTCTCTTCACCACCTGTAGCAGGCGCTCGCGTCTCAACGCCAGTCGACGCGCGAACTTCGCAGGAAACGCGCCTTCCGCAGAACGTGTGACGTCGCCGCCTTCGCCGTTTTCGCGAGCGACAAATTGTTGTGGGAACTTTGTCGTCGACAACATGGATGCTGCCGGACGACAGCGACCTCTCTAAGGTCAGTCTTGACGATTTCACCCAGACCCGATCACCCACTTCGAACCGGCGCCACTTTTTAACACTTCTTCGCGGCGACGTCAACGGACAGTCCAAAACGGCGCTCGGCCAGACTTTGCACACTTGTTGACGTTCGCGATGCGATTAAAATTACGACGTTCGTGAATCAATATTTGATAATGGAGATGGAAAAAACGGCAGCAATTGTTTAATCTGTTTACACAAGCGCGTACTTGAAACTAATATTGTATTACCGACTTGCTCTTGTCGGATTATTGTTATTAACAGCGGACGGGTTATTGCATTGGAGCGGTGTATGGTATCATTTAGGTGCTTGTTGACGGTGTTTTTCCGATATTTTGCGGTAGTTTGTTGAAAAAAATAAATGTGCCGGTAAGAGATGTTTTTTTTGTAAATAAATAAAATTTTAAAATTAAGAATTCGCAGGAAATTTTAATTAGTTACTTTCAATATACGGAGTGTCCAAGTTGTTTTTATTAAATGTGATTGAAATAGGTCTTTAACGTATTAAAAATAGTCCCTTAAAATCCTAAATTGAGTATTTTTATGCAACAAAAAATTCCTCGTCGAAGTTGTGTTTTTTTATTTGTTTATATTACAAACTAGACATTCCTCGAAATTTGCTGTAAGGCTTTGCCATTTGTCAGCTAAATAGGTATTTATATTTAGAAGAACTCATTCCCACGTTACATGACGTGATAGGAGCAAACTTACATTTACGTAATGTCGTTATTAGTGCATGATCAGAATCGTTTATATTGTCACCTCTAAACAGTTTTAATTGTATCCATCGTTTTCTGTAAAGTGTCTTCAAATTTCTGTAGCACAGACAAAGCCAGAGTTGTTAATAATTGTTGTTTTAATAACCTTTAAAAAAATTTAAATTAATTATTATAAGTTGAGATATAAGAATAGTTTACTCACTTCCTTGACATAATGGAAATGTTCACTGTGAAACATTTCTCTACGTACATATTATTCTTCGAAATAATTTATATTCAAGTTTCGTTGCATTATTTGATAAAGTTTATTTTTCTACATATGAAAATGTAGCTTGATGTAGGTGTTGCATAGCAAACACAATGCAGAAAACTAATAACAAACGAAATAAACATGATATGAACACGAGACAAAATGAAATCCAAATCTATACTTATATTATAAAGCTGAAGTGTTTGTTTGGTTGAACGCGCTAATCTCAGAAACTACTGGTTCGAATTCAAAAAATCTTTTTGTGTTGGATAGTCCATTTAGCGCATTTATATATAGGCTATATAATATCACGCTACGATCAATAAGAGCGAAGTAGCAATGAAAAATTCGGAAAAACGGGAAAATTATTCCTCCGTTGACAGCTTCCGTTGCTTACGCTGCTTAAACGGTTAAAGTTACGTAAAAATTATGTGTAATGAAATTGTTCCCCTCTAAAAATTCTAAAGAAAACTCCGCGACAGCATATGTCTATCTTTTAAGGTCGACTCAGTATAACCTTTTTTATGGTAATGAAATTTGTTCTAAAATAATAATGCATTATGTATAAAATTCTCGCGTCACAGTGTTTGTAACCGAGCTCCTCCGAAACGGGTTGACCGATTTGTATGAAATTTTTTATCTATATTCGGTAGGTCGGAGAATAGGTTGTAAACTATTTTTCATACCCCTAAGTGATAAGGGTGGCCCACCCTAAAAATTGTTTGTTTATTTTTTGGACAAAATTTTTTATTTTAATTTTGTTAACATCTGGCATCAAAAAATACATATAATTCTAAATTTTCACCTTTCTACCACCAACCCCCATTTTTTAATCTTCTATATAATAAAAATCAATTGCTGTTCCTGTTAGTCTCGCTAAAACTCAAAAACGGCTTGACGGATTTGAAGAATTTTTTATATTACGGGGATGGTTTATAAATAAAAAAAAAATAGGGAAAACTTAAAAGGACAGGTAAAAAATCAAAAAATTCTAAAAATTTTGTATGGGAATCGCCAATTCGAATTAATTTCACTAGTTGGCGTTCCTGACGGACTTGTCGTCTAACTGACGTGTCATACAAAACTATTTATTCCGTCCGATTGTGAAAAGTATATTGCATTTCAAACCGTTCTTTGTTTTTTTGTAGAAAAAAAAAAACGTCGTTTATTTTAAGAAAAGTCTTGGTTAAAGTGAATTTAGTTACACATTGCGAAAGTTTCTTATTAATTTTGATCTGCCGTTCTATTCACTTTGTTGGTTTCGACAAAACCTCAAACTTTATCGTTGTTCGAGGATTTAATTTGAAGTTTTCAATATTTTAAAATTCTCAAGACAAAATTAATAGATTTGATTGACTGTGAAAATAATTCTGTGTCGTTTTATGAAGTTCATTACAATGTCGAGAAGACGACAAGCTGACATAGATCCACGAAGTCAATCAAATGTGCTACCTCAGGTGCAAACCGCAATGATTTATCTCATGGGTAATTCGGATATGGAAGTTGATCAGCGTTGTGCTCATAATCAACATAATCAAACATTGAAGCGAGACATTGGGTGGTATGAATAAAACTGAGTAGATACTCACATTCGAAGTACGAAGTACCTACTTCATCATTACTCTTATATACCTGAGCATCTACTCTATGTACTGAGTACCTACTTGGAAACATTGTATCTCCCTGGACACAAATTGAACATCTACGCGTTTTGTGAGCATTTAATCTAAAAATGAGCATCGGCGTGGCAAATGACTGAGCTGTCTGTAAAGCAGCTTAGAAAACGAGTAGGATCGTTGTAAGAGTGAATTTTGACTAAACTTTGACTACTTTCATGGACGTGGAACGTTGTCAAAAGGTGCACTCAGTTTGAAAAACACATTTGGAGCGGGAATATCGAGAACTTTTCAGGTAATTAACTTTTATTTATGCATAAATTGTGCAGTGCGTTTTTTCTAACACTGGCCATAGAGATTCCCATCTCAAGGTCTCTACCCCATACTAACTTATATTTTGGTGACTTGATTTTTGCCTTGATGGTTGAACACTGTCACTGTTTTCCTTTTTTGTTGTATGTATCGAGATGCTACTTGAGTATCAACTGTTACCTACTGAAGTATTAGCATCATCTAGAAAAACTAGAAATATTTTGATTTGATATTCGAGTAGATACTTCGTATTTCGAGTATAAGCATCTACTGAGTTTGATTTATATCAACCATTGTCAAAGAACTGATCGAACGTTGTTTCGACAGAACTTCCTTCGCACCAAAAGTGTAATGAAACATATTCAGCATTTTCGAGTTGAGTCTTTTCTTCACACAATTTTGTGATGACCTAATCAACATTTACGATCAACACGTATACCACCTTGGATTGCTGCAGTGTAATACTAAAAATAACTGTATTGTATTCACAAAATTATCTGCGAAAATCGAGTGAGCCGTTCCATCAATTTTTTTGGGGGAAAAAATAAATATTCTTAACAATTTACCATGCTTACAATAACTTTAAAACGTCTGCAAGATCTCAAAATATTCATTTCTGCAACTCTTGAATTATTCAATAAAATAAATTGACTGATCGATACATTTTTTTGAGTCAGTGTAAAAGCAAATCTAAAAAATATGAATGCAATGGTAAATTACTGATGATATTTTGCACATTTTATATAGGATTTATTCGTCAAAATCTTGAGATGTCGTCATCAAGTTTTTGGGCTTGATAAACAGATATATTTTGATTAAAAACCTACCATGTCAAACAGTAAGTTCAAAACGTCTGCAATATTTCAAAATTCAGTTTTGCAATTCTTGATTCAATTAATAAAATACATTGACTTATTAGTGACTAATTTTTTTGAGGCACCGCCTATAAGCAAAACTAATAAATATGATGGAATGAGAAATCACAAGTATAGTCTCATCCTATTTCGGACATTTTAGATAGGATTCATTTGGCAAAATTTTGGGCTGACGTTATCAATTTTTTGGAGGGGATAAGTAAATATATTTTGAATACAAATTTATTATGCTTATCATATGTTTAAAACATCTGCAAGATTTCAAAGCATTCAGTTTTGCAGATTTAAAATTAAATTGTAGATGAAACGAAGTTCACGGGGTCAGCTAGTATTTTTATATTTTTAGTAAAATAAAGAATACTTTTTGGCGGTATGTAATCCGGTAGTTTGTGATTTGTAAACAAATATGTTTTTTGTATGTCTATACTTCTGTCAAAGTCGCATAACAATGGCTCGTTTAACCGAAAAATAACGTATAGAAATCCTAATGATGGTAAGGTTGTGGCCATAGGCTTCGAAGCCACGAAGAAGTGTGTGCTTTGTTCAACGAAGTACATTTTGAACGACCTGCAATCGCTGGAAGCACCGGAAACGTGAGAGATGTTCCAAGATGTGGAACACCACAAATAAACGATAACACCAAGTTGAATCTCTTGTTATCATTAGAAGACAACCCCCATGTAACAACGACGGAAATGGCTTTACAAGAAAATGTCAGAAGATGTCCTGACAGACGATTGGAATTATAAAATTTAGATCGCAGAATTTGGTTTCGACAGAATGGGGCATTCCCACATTAAGGCAGGGTTTTTTTGGATAATCAATCTGATGGAAGGTGGACTGGAAGGCGTCTACCAATAGAATGACCACCTAGGTCTCCGAATCCGACACCCTTTGATTTTTTTATGGGGACATTTAAAAAGTTGTGTTTACATGAACAGAGCCGATAATTTAACTCACTTGACTCGTACTTAGTAAAACTATTTATTTTTTTTTAGGTACAAGTCCACTGAGTTTACTATACAATAATTTCCTACGTTAACTGTGGAAGAAGCTGCACATAAAAAAAAATTCATTAGAAGCGTTTTTGGCCGAAGTGGACGGTTGACAATTCAAAATTTTATCTGAAATGGTGATTTTGTTATTTAAAGTGTCTTTTATATGACCTTCATGGTGCTTAATAGGGAGCATATCTCCACCCGCGT